TTACGAAGTGACCCTGGCAATCAGATTCTCCAGGGAGACAATGTGGTACAACTAAACACTTATATCTACGACTACTTTCTCAAACGCGGCTATCACGATTGTGCCAGGGCATTAATCCAAGATGAGTCGTTTACCATGAGCACCTCACCCGTGCCAAAGTCCACGCCGCACCGTCGCGATGGCGGAAATGAATGGCGTTGACGGTGATGCCATGGTCACGGACTCCAAGGATGAAGTTAAACACCGAATACCGGACGATATGCCGCGACCAAATATCCCACCAGGCCAGGGTGGAGACTTTCAACAAACGTCGTTTCTCCTTGACTGGTTTAACCTCTTCTGGGACATTTTCTGGGCCCAACGGAAACGAAGTAAAAACCCTGAAGCCATGCAATATGTTCAACAGACACAGGTAGGTTCTTTTCTCCCTCTATTAAGGTTTGCAATGCTAATTCCACTTGTCGTTTAGCAATTACTTCGAATGCAAAACCAGCAAATGCTGCGCCAATCGCAGATGATTCCTGGCCAATATAACATGCGAGCGGCCCGTGGTGGGATGATGCCTGCTGGTATGCAGAAAACACTAATGCAAAACAATCCCAATATGTACGTTCATATATGTTCATCTGTATCCCATTTTGCCTAGATTGTGATCTAATTCTAGGCCGTATAGGACCCCCCAGCAAATGGCGCAGCTGCAAAAGAATCAACAAATGCTCCACCATCAGATGCAACGAGAAACCTCTGAAATGGAGATGAATGGCCACCGTCCACAGTCACCCTCGTCTGCAGAAAATGCCCCGTCACCTTCGAAGCGTCCCCGCTTGGATAGCTCGCAGGTAAATGGGTTGCAGATGGCACCAAACGGTCGAGGGCAAGGCCAAATGCCTGGCCGTCCAAACCACCAGACCAACGCCATGTTGATCCAACACGGCATTAATCCGAACACCTTGACCCCTCAACAGTTTACTTCATTCCAGGCGCAAAACCCATCTGTCCAAGCAAAATCTCTCCAGGTATATAATCAAAACATGGGTAACATGAGTATACATAACAATCGCGCAGCGATGAACAACCCGGGTATGCCAAATGGTTTAATGAACCCTGGTGTGATGCCAAACCAAGGCGACATGATGCCCATGCACGATGGCCAGCTATTACCCATGCAAGAGTACTACAGCGCAAATGGCCAAATGACCCAAGTACCACGACCTCAGATGCAAACTCCTGGCTCAGGGAACCATGCACTCCAAGATTATCAAATGCAGCTGATGTTGTTGGAGCAGCAGAATAAACGACGCCTGCTGTTGGCTCGTCAAGAACAAGATGGCATAAACCGAGGCGATGGTCAAGCAGGGATGCCCGGCCAGCCTAACTTACCCCCAGGCACATCCCCACAGGGTAGTCGGGCCGGCGCGTCCCCGAATCCTAATGATCAGATGAAGAGAGGCACACCCAAGATGCCTCAGACTGGCCTCCCCGGCTCTCCTAGCGTTAACGATGCGATGGCTCATGGCCGTAGCTCTCCTGCCTCCATGAACTTCGGCGGCCAAATGCCCCAAGAAATGGGTGGTGGGGCCTTCTTCATAAAC